ACACATAATTACAAATCCAATATACATTATAGAATTCTTAACTCAATCATAAATTGACACCATTCTTCCTTAATTTCTTCCAATTTTACTTTCGAGTACGTAGCGCATTTGAATTCATCAAAATACTACATAATATAACAGAACAAGCACGATTTAATACTAATTACTCAGATGAAATATTAGTTAATTATCAAAATGAATCATATAACTCATGAATTGATCCATACCATGATTGGAATCTCTAATTGACCAGAAAGAATGATTTCCTTCATAAAGCGCAGTACAAAATATATGCAGTCAATCCCACCACGCTGACGAGAACACTGTATTAGGAAAAAAGCGAACGAACATTTATCAGGATATATAGTTTAAATAGTTTTATAAGTAGAACCACTATAACAGTCAAACATGGGAAAATATACCTCCACTCTGATCCAGTTGATGTTGCTAGCCCTGCTTTTTGGCACTGTTGCATCTCTCTGTGCTCTGTATATTTGTATAACTCTAACATAATATAAACACATATTTAGAACAATGTCACATAATAAATAAACATATATAATTATTCAGAACACTATATATCATCACTTACGTATCAACCATGTTCTTCAGATTTTCATATTTGTTTGTATCGCCATCCAATGAATCTATATAATACACTACTTCTTTAATCGGATTAATTGCGACCAATAACCAGTGACCACTATAAAATAAGACAACAGTTTAGACGGAAATGTTATATAATATGGCAAAAATCTAACAATTATAATAAATGAATTTAGAATAAAAACTAACCCATGGCCAGTATTATATGGCAACATAAACAACTTCTCTGTATTCGCACCCATAAATCTCTGGACTGTGTACTCTTTGACTGCTTTTGGTGTCTGGTCTATTGTCCGTGAGTTGACACTGCTAGCAGATAAGAATGCGAATACTGAAGTCAAATCAGCGGGGACCAACAACTTGTCATACAAGAGCCTAAAAAAAATATAATCAACATTAGATTATTCAGTTAAACGAGCGAATTTTAAAATGTTCAATTATCTAATTAAAATGGATCGAAGTACCTGATGTAGGAATGCATAACCCCAACGCCCAATTCTAAATGTTTGAAAACCTGGTCGAAATCCTCCTTAGCAAGTGTTTCGGGATATTCAAAACCGAAAATACCTTGATCCATATGTATTAGACGGATGCCGCCCTCAGGCACGTTTGTTGTCCCTACATATGTTTGAAGGCACATCCTAAATTGAGGAACAAATGCTCTTTTTGTCTCGACCTTTTTTTTGGGCACCTTGGAAGTTTCAGGCATGTTTCCCTTGCTGACTTGTTGCGACTGCTGATCAAGAACCTAAAAGTCATATATAAGTTCAGTAAATAATTTATAATAAAATAATCACTTAAACTGTAGTACTAGTACCTGTAACTTTGATGCAGCTGAATCGGTATCCCGCACAATAATTTTATCATCTTTTGTTTTGGATTTTGTGGGAGTCTAAGATCATCATGTCAATAAGAAAGTGTAAATGTCAGAATAACTTTCATGTATGGGTAATAAAACATTGGAATATTACAAGGTTCAACCTACCTCATCCTCTATGAAAATGAGATTCGCCGGCCATGCTACATAAGCTCCTATCGCGTCTCCCACCATTGTTGCGTCTGATACATCGTCTGGTATAGGCAACAACGCCCCCCCCCCCCCCCTCTAATGCAATATCAACAAATACTTTCAAAAATCCAGCAGGGAGGGGTTTATGGTGAAGTAAGTCTCCCAGGGTGTTATGCACCTTTCCCTTGCCAACCATGCGATAAGTCGGCGACGATAAATATAGTCGACAAGGTGAAATGCCCTAAACAAATAATGATCAGTTAATGTGTCAATTAAGAAAAATGTGCTAAATTAATTTCAATGTAATATATACAATTACCTCTGGAAGCTTCTGCGGACAACCGATACTATCTTTGTCACTAGTAGCTTTACCGGCCTCTGGAGCGCGCCTTTCGGACATGTATCTCTCCTTATCCTTCTGTAATTCACGAATTTGAGCTTTCATTTCCTCCAAAGTAGCCATCACTTCTTTATTGGTTGGATTTTTTTTCCTTGGCTGCTTATACAGTTTGGATGGAGTGACACCAAATCCCTTGCCCCTCACACGCCCAGAGTACTCAGGAATATTCAACACCCGACTCAATAAACTCCTGCAATCATCATCTTCAGCAGGAGTTATAGTCTGGGATAGGGACTCCTGAAATATAGATAAAAGCATATTTAAATATTTTATACACTTTGTTCAAACACTTTGTTCAAAAACTAATGTTGTACTTACACATTGTTCAAACACTTGTTGAACTTCTTCTTGGACGGCTCCATCTCTTCCCACCCGGGAAGCCTTCCATACGACATGGTCTGGAAGAGATGTCGCATCACTTTTCTCCTCTTCCAACTACGCATTAAGACGAACAATAAAGCATTATATCCTATTATGTATACTTACTATTTTTTGTAAATAGATCATATTAAAGCATATATATATGCACTTACTAATTTTTGTTCTAAGCGTGCATATCCCAAACGCCCCTTTCTATATGGATACGCAGGGTTTGATGCCCGTTCCCGATTTACGCCACTCTTAACCTGAAAAAACAAGTTTAAGTCATATCAGTTTGTTTGTGGAATAGGTATATATATTATACATTGTTCATGATAAGTTGTACTTACTTCAAATTCTTTGGTTCTTCGCTTTGCAACAAATGTCTCCCATTCTGCATCCGAAATCAAATCAGCGTACTTCGCTGGACGCTCCGAGTCTACAAAGTTGCCATCAGAATCTTTAAGAAATTTGTTGGTTAAAAACGCTCTAAATCCCCTCAAGCGTTTTCCGGCCAACTGAATACAATATTTTCTCCTAGAATCCTCAATATTAAAAGATCTCTGCAAACAAATACACATACATATAACATGTTAGTATAATTAATTTAAAGATGTAACTGTCAACATAATTAAAAATGATCAAATCTCATACTTGAATCTCGCTCCAAATTTTATTCTTAGCCGCTTCTAATGCAGGAATTCTCCAGTTATCGCAAGTAATCGGAACTTGCGAACGTACAACTGCTCCAATATAACTTGTCAGCAGCGCACCATTAGGCTCAACCAACTGATCTCTTTCATTCCAATGGACATCGTATTTTACACCTCTATCTCTCGCACAGATGATTCTTTTCATTATCGTTATGCCTCTTTTAATTTCGCCTTCAACGTCTTTGGGTGTTTCTTTTCCATCATGTGATGTTTCCTCGTTGCTGGCCATAATATACCTATAATTCAGAATAACAACAACAACAACAAATATCAACAACAATAACAACAAATGTCATATTAAACAACAACAACAAACCATCTATATCAAATATAAACTATATCTCATATTTATAATCAACAACAACAACAAATATCATATTAAACAACAACAACAACAACAATCTATATCAAATATACACTATATCTCATATATCATATCAACAACAACAACAAATATCATATTAAACAACAACAACAATATATATATCAAATATATATATCTCATATTTTACATCAACAACAACAACAAATATCATATTAAACAACAACAACAACAATATATATCAAATATATATATATATATATATATATCTCATATTTTACATCAACAACAACAACAAATATCATATTAAACAACAACAACCACAATCTATATCAAATATAAACTATATCTCATATTTTACAACAACAACAAACAACAAATATCATATTTTACAACAACAACAAACAACAAATAGCATATATCAAATATCAAATATCAAATATATCTCAATAACACTAAACACATTAAATATCATATATTAAACTATATATATATATATATATATATATATATATATATATATATATATATATATATATATATATATATATATATATATATATATATATATATATATATATATATATATATATATATATATATATATATATATATATATATATATATATATATATATATATATATCAACAACAACAACAAAAACAATCAGAACAACAACAACAACAACAACAAATAACACAACAACAACAACAAAAAAAACTCAAATATCTCATATTTTACATCAACAACAACAACAATATCATATATATCTCATATATCATATTAAACCTTCAATATCATATTTTACATAAACCTTCAATATCATATTTTACATAAACCAACAACAAAAACCATCAGAACAACAACAACAACAACAAATAACACAAAACCTTCAATATCATATTTTACACTAAACCTTCAATAACTCAGATAACACAAAACCTTCAATAAAAACAACAACAACAACAATATAAAGCCATCTATTATGTTCAAATACCATCTATATAAAACCATCTATATCATCAGAACAACAATGGTGAAAAGATAAAAAAAAAAAAAAACAAGAAAAGCAGAGCAAGCTTCACGTACCGTAACAATGGTGGACCGGCAATGCAGACGGATGGATGAACTCAAAAACGGACGGTGAACGGTCGGTGATGGTCGGAAGGATGATCAGACGGAAGAAGGCGATGATCGGACGATGAACAGTGGGTGGTTGGTTCGTGTTTTCGTTCGCCAGAGAAAGAAGAAATAGTTAGCGTGACTGTTCTGATTCTATTAAAATTCTGGAGGGTATTTTAAAATTATAATATGAATACCTTTAGCAGCGCTTTTAAAAGCGCTTTCATAGGGTGCCTTATCAATTTCATATAGCAGCGCTTTATATAAAAAGCGCTTTCTAAGGGTCCCCCTTTAGCAGCGCTTTTAAAAAGCGCTTTCTTAGGGCCCCCCTTTAGCAGCGCTTTTTAAAAGCGCTTTCTTAGACCCACCATTTAGCAGCGCTTTTTTAAAAGCGCTGTCTTAGGTAGGCGCTTTTTTTCTTTTTTTTTATGGCCTTTTAGCAGCGCTTTTGTAAAAAGCGCTGTCTTTCTATGCGCTGCTAAAAGTGATTTCTGGCGTAGTGTTAAGATTTCTGGCTCCGTCCTTGCTCCCAAGCGAGGTGAGCCCCCATTTACCCAGAGAGCTCAAGATATCAGAAAGTTTCTTTTTCAAATCCTCCACCTTCAAAAGAGTCGCTCCTTTTGGCCATATGATTCGACCATGAAGGTTATGCTTACACGATTCAAGGCCCGCCATATATTCATCCTCTGGAATGGTGATTGAGATATGATCCCCTTTGATAATCGAGTGAGGGAGCTGGCTGATAGGGATGTCACAGACATTATTGACTGCTTCAATAAAGGATTTCTTCGAGGTGGTGGAAACTTTGGAGTTAGAGGTGCATGAGGGAGTCTTTGGAGAGAAGGAGTCTAGGAATAGCCAAGGGATAATAACTAGAGCAGCCATGGAGGAGGACAATGGAGAAGGAGAGTTTGGGCGATAGTATTAGCGGATGAGAGGAAAAAATGACTTGAGGTAGGAAAAAATGTGATCACACAGTTTAAACAGTGGAATAAAAGAAAAGTGATAAAGAAATATTTGAGAAAGATTAGTGAAGTTGAAAGGTGTGCAAAATAGCCACATTTTAACCATGAGAAAATAAATAGAGGTCTTATTCAATCAAGATTTACTATAACAAATATTTTATAAAGTCCTATTTACCTATTGTTTAATCCTAATAAATTTGAAGTCTTGTGCAATAATCCGCCTTACACACCTTTAAAGATAGCTTTATTTACACATTAAAACTATCTACAAATATACATATAAATAAATTATTATTTATAGCTTTTTAAAATTACAGCATATTTTACTTAGGGATGTGATTTAAGTTTTGTAAAGCTAATTAAACTAAATTAAATATGACATTGAATAGGATTTGGGCAAGGTATTATACTACTCGTCCTCCTATCCGTGATTTAAAAAAATTATCGTCCTCGAGCCCATATCCGTGTGGGCGTTAATTTTAAACTCGTTAATTTCCATTCTTGATCATTTGAAGGATTGTCTTTTTTTGCTTAAAGGGAAGGTTAACAAGAACTTTCACCTCCTTTTTTAGCTTGTAGTTGTCTAATCTCTTTGGTTAGTTAGAAATGACACTATTTTTAAGGTCACATTTAGAAAAAACACATTTAAAAAAATTGTAATCATTATCACGTTGAAAAGTGAAAATAATAATCATTTCAAAACAAATTTTATTATATAAAACGATAGTCTAATAAATCCTTTCATTATCATTTTGGTCATTCATCCTTGTTATTTTAATTTTTTAAAAATAAAACCAGAGTTGAAATATAATAATAAATGATAATGAAAAGAGAGTTGAGATAGGAGACGTATGCTGCGGATGATAATTAAATGTGTATCTAAAAATGAGCAAGAGAGAATTTAAATCCGACAAACTCAACCTCCAAAATTTATATTTTTCATTCATTTTACTTACCTCAATCAACTACATTTATGTTCTGCTCTTTCTCCATCAAGTACTCTGGGCCCACATTCTCTACCGCTTTATAGTCATACCTTCTTCCGTCCCCACCTCAATTTTTAATCCTTTCATCTTTTTATTCTTCCTCTACATGCCTCTATATATACCTTCTCTCTTATTCCTTCATATTCTGTGCCCACTCCTAAAGAAAACGCTGGAGATAATGGTGGGTGTTATTTCGTTGATATCAGGAATGGCTGGTCCTAGTGGCTTTGGATCAGCTTCAACTGCTGAGATCGTTACCCAAGGAATTGATGCTCCCAACCTTACTGCAATTGTCACAGGTTAGCTCTGAAGCACCGATATCTTTGAAAAAAACGATGTGTCTGTGTGTTGATGTCGGGAACTTTATAAAGTGTAAGAAAATAGTTTAAAATGAATGCAGGAGGAGCAAGTGGGATTGGGTTGGAGACAACAAGAGTGTTGGCTCTTAGAAACGTGCATGTGATAATTGCTGCAAGAAGCATGGAAGCTGCAGAGAAAGCTAAGCAGCAAATAACACAAGAGAACAAGTTTGCAAGAGTGGATATAATGAAACTTGACTTGTGTTCAACAAAATCTGTCAAATCTTTTGTGGACAATTTCATTGCTCTTGATCTTCCTCTCAACATCTTAATGTAATGTTTCTTAATTATAAGGATTTATAATAAACCATCACTTTAATTAAAAATGGTACAAGATAAAAAATCCAAAACATGTATAAAATGAGACAAAAAAAAAATAATTGTACAAAAAATTTTTTTTTTAAAAATGTAATATGGAATAAATAATATATCAGGGTAATATGGATTATTTAATAATTTTTTATTTTATATAAATAGTACTTATATAACAAAAATTCCAAAATATTTGATGTGACATTTCAGTTAAATATTTATATTTAGTACTTGATTTTTAAAATGTCAGAAACAATGCTGGAATCATGTTTTGTCCATTCAAGCTTTCAGAGGAAGGAATTGAGATGCAGTTTGCAACAAACCATCTTGGTAATGTCTTATTAATCATTCATAAAATTATTCTTTTAATAATATTTCGAAATAAAAATTATTTTTAAATATATTAATTAATTAATATATTTGAACAATATATAAATTATTTGTTATTTATATTTAATACTTTTTTATTTTTCAGGTCATTTTCTATTGACAAATCTTCTTCTTGAAAAAATGAAATATACTGCAAAAGCAACTGGAATAGAAGGAAGAATCATAAATCTATCATCAATTGCTCATAGATACACTTACTGTAGAAAAGGGATTAGATTTGATAAGATCAATGATCGAAATGGGTATTTTTTCTTTGACTCTAATTGAGTAAATTCAATTTCTTAATTCATATATGATTGCAATTTATTTATTTTCTGTTGCTATCACTTTTAATTTCAGCTATTCTAATAAAAAGGCCTATGGACAGTCCAAATTAGCCAACATATTACATGCAAATGAGCTCTCTCGTCGTCTTCAGGTGAATTTTATATGTAAATATAAAATAATTAAATTAATTACAATCTAGATTATTTTACATGTAAACATAAAATAATTAAATTAATTGCTCTCTATATTTTTTGGAGAAATAAAAGTTTTAAATTTGTACTCTTTAATTTAGTATCTAAAATTTGTGAACAGGAAGAGGGTGTGAACATTACAGCGAACTCTGTTCATCCAGGAATAATAATGACTCCTCTTATGAGATATTCTTCCTACCTTATGAGTATGTCCAAAAAGAATTTTTAGTTTTTGTTGTATCTTTTTGATTTATATTGGACCAAATCAATTATTGTTTATGCAGACTTCTTGAAAATATTCAGCTTCTACATATGGAAGAACGTTCCACAGGCATTTTATTTTATTTAATCCTTTTAGTATTTTCAATACTTATATAAAAATGTCAAAAGTGTATATAAATAAGTAGTTAATCAATTTGGTAGGGAGCAGCTACAACATGCTATGTTGCACTTCACCCAAATGTGAAAGGTGTGAGTGGGAAGTACTTTGTGGATTGCAATGAATTCAAGCCAAGTGCATTTGCTAGAAATAAACAGTTAGCAAAGAAGCTTTGGGATTTCAGCAACAATTTGATCAACTCAATCTCCAAAGCTTGATGGAGCATTCTTGATGTTTGGTTCTTCACTTACTTTATCATCTTAAGAGGTTATTATATGTCATATTATGTAATCATGTAAGTTCCATGTTTGTTTAGAGTAAGAATAAGGATGCTTGTAAGCATGTGTGTTGTGATGTACTATGAAATAAATGCCACTTTGAGTCATCTATATGGTATTTATTTTAGATATTAATATTGATTTGGTATGAAATTAGAGAAAATGGGATATGATAATTTTATATTGTCAAACAATTACTATTATGTATCCTGCAACATCATGCTACAGTGTTGTGCGTTGAAATCTTTCTTTTTTATTAGAGAGATCATCTCAAATATTCTATGCATTTATATCTATAATTTAGTTTTTTATTTTTCTTAAAATGTGGAATTTTTTTGTTCGTCATGTATTATGTATTTTGATTGATCCTTTTAGGTTTATACCATTAAACAAGTCTCTTATAAAAGTCTTTAAATTTGAAGAAATTTAAAATATACTAAAAAATAATGTGAAAATAATTTTAAGATTAGACTTTATTTAGGTGCAGTACCTTTAAAAAATGATATAAAAATCTAAAACTTTGTGTGAGTTGTCGTGTAGTTATTTCTATACCCTCGCAATTTGTGCATTATATTTTTTACTTTCATTAGATGTCGTAATGATACATTTTTTTTTCTTCAAATATTTGATGAATCATTTTCACTTTTTCTTATACACTTTTGCAAATACTGCAGTTTTCAAAAATAATAGTTTGTAACACAAATTTGGCATAATATTGTGCAAAAATAAATTATTCTTTTGCCATTCTAAATAATTGGTTGTTTTAGATTTTTACACATTTTAAATAATATAATTAATTATATAAAAAACATAAAAATGTTATTTTTAAATTATATTTTATTAATGATATGATAAAGTAAAATTAAACGAATAAAAAAGGTGTAGTGATAAATAACGTGGTAAAAAAGAAAAGTAATTAATCTTAATTTATATATATACTTTAATTTAATTTAATATATATATATACTTTAATTTAATTTAAGGCAACTTCTTTCTTTTTAAATTTGCAACCCCGAAAAAAAGTTAGTTGGAGTTCAAAATATGTATTTTAATTTTAATTTTTTTTCATTTAATCTTAATCTGACATTTTTAGCCAAACACTTCAACAATAAACAAAAAAAAAAAAGATGTGTTATTTTTTTAATTAGGTAAGCGTGTTTATTTTAAGGTCTATATCATAATGAAAACTTATACAGTTAAATCAACAATGTATAAATATTTAGAACAATGAAATCACTAATTCAAATACAATCTAAATATATGACACTTTTAAATTGATTATCAAAATTTCAACCAAATTTGTGCCACTTATAAATAAATTATTCCGTGGGAGCCAAGTATGAAAATTTTAATAAATTTTGAAAGTAGTAGTATGTCAAAAGTAATAAAATTTTAATAAATTTGTGTTCTCCTGTTTTGAATATCAATCATTTTTAAAGTTATTTTAAAATGATTAGAAAAACTATAACAAGAATAGTTAGATATTTTTAAATTGTATTCTCTATTCTAAAATGATTTATATGTAAAAAAAAATTAAAATAATGATTTATTAAATGCAATATTAATTTATTTTTATTTTTAATTATACTATTCATTTTCATTAAATAGCATAGTTCAAATATCCCTTTGATGCAACGTTTTATCAAGGCTTTTTTATTTAAAATTTTACCGAAATAACATAGGAATGAATTAATACTAATCATAATATTATTCAGTATTTTTAAATAAAAATTATATATATATATATATATATATATATATATATATATATATATATATATATATATATATATATATATATATATATATATATATATATATATATATATATATAATTTTATTTTCAAATAAAACCTACATATATAAATATAAAAATAATTAAGCTAAATTTTAGAAAGAATTTTGCATTATATTTAAGAGTGGTTCATCAAACTCAAACATTTGATTGAAGAATGCAGAATTGGGTTTCTAAAAAGGACCAATAGCTACAATGATGCGAGTATTGTTTTAAAACTTAGGTATGCAAAAAGTAAAAATCCTTCCTAAGATAAATTAAAATTAGATAACTAGAAACTTTGGTAATTTTCACTTTTTATCTCTCTTAAGGATCAAAAACAGAACTGAGTATTTTGAAAAACTCAAAATTGCAAAATGGATTTCACGTGAAGACCAAAAACATGAAAACAATTTAATAACTACAATAATGATATAATATAACTGAGTATTCTGCAAAACTCATAAAATGTTAATAACTACAATAATAATATGATATAATAGATATGACATAAGTACCAAAAAGACCAATAATAAAAAAAGACCAATAACATTAGTACGAAAAAGACCAATAAAATATAGATACTAAAAAGAGTATTATGTTTTTCAGGAGAAAATGAGCGTATTAATTTTTTCTTAAAAACACATAAATAGTTAATAATAAAGGTAAACACTGTCGAGCAGTAAATAACATAAGAGAACAAGTATGCAAAAATGGATATAATCAAACTTGATGTAATGTTTATATACTATAATCATTCTTTTAAAGATTTTAAACCATGGATCTATCTCTCCAATATGAGTAAAATATAAAAATAAAAATATATATATTATTCATCTATTTTTAAAAAGTAAACTTTTTCATATAATAAAGAACAAGATTATATGACAGCAAAAATTCAAAATAGTTGTCATGTGTTTGGGTTATGTTTGCTAAAACTTTTATAATTTTAGTTAATTCAAATGTTGCAATGTTGATTGTAATCGTTGCAGTATGAATTAATTATAATTTATTTTTTAATATAAAAACGGTAAACAATGATATTGATATCGTTATTTGGATGGCTTATCTTTATTAAAATTTTAGTTATCCATTTTTATTAGTGATGTGAAAATGTGAGAAACAATTTTGAAATCATGTTTTGTCCCTTCAAGCAATCAAAGAAGGGATTGAGATGTAGTTTGCATCCAAACATCTTCGTAATCTCTTATTAATCATTCATAAAATTATTATTTGTATTTTATTCATTATATATTCTCCTATCAAATTTTTTTCACCCCTAAGTCATTGTCTATTCACAAATTTCTTCTTGATAAAATGAAACAAACTACAAAATCAACTCGAATAGGGGGAAGAATTATAAATCTATCATTTATGCACCATTAAACATGTCTCTGATAAAAGTCTTAAGATTGAAAAATTTTAAATTATACTAAAAAATAATGTGAAAATAATTTTAAGATGAGACGTTACGTAAATATGAAAATCTAAAACTTTTTGTGAGTTATCGCGTCGTTATTTTCATATCTACGTAATTTGTGCATTGACATGTGTATTTTTTATTTCTTTTAAATGTTGTAATGATACATTTTCTCTTTTTGCAAATATTGATGAATCATTTTCACTTTTTCCTATACACCTTTATATGTCTACTTTTTATCATTTACATCTTTGTTCTTCTCTTGGGAACATTCATGTTTGTTTTGATTTTATGCTTCAACTTTGAATTTTTTTTAAGTTTTTTTTATTATGTGTAACGCTCATCACTGGTGCATAAATGATTTTATAATTATTGATATTATATCATTTTTATTAAAAATAATTGTAAAATACGCGTTTAGTGGCAATTTTGTAAATATTAAAAAAAATTAATTTTAGTATATAATTCTTTACACCTGTTTTCCCAAAAAAAGGGGATTAAACACGTTTCCTGTTCAAAATAAATGTAATATTCTAATAAATGACACCTAATTTTAGAAAAAATGGATATAAAATAGTGACACGGTAGAACTCTTTTCTACTACAATTTTCTTGGGTAATAGTAAATTGGAATTTTATTTTAGGATCATTATACTTTATCTTTATTGTATTGATATGTCGATATTTAAAAAAAGTATGAGACTCTTTTAAAATTTTCATTAAATTTTTGAATCACTAGTAAATAAAGTTACAAAAATCCAAGCTTGATTCTGAAACTTAGGTAAGATGAGTGGTCTACAAAAGTATATCTCTTATGCATATTCTGTATCATTTACATATTTTTGAGTAATTCTAATTCATATCCAATTAGAAGCTTAATTCAAAGTTTGTAACAATTTGTACAGATTTGAAGATCTCGTGATAACACATCCATAATAACACAAGGCTATGAAGTTACTTCGAAAAGTGTGATTCTATGAGTACAAGGAGACCTAGGATTGCAAGTTTTTGCATTAAAATTGGCTTAAATAGTTAATTTTAGGGTAATGCTAACTTGTGTTTTAGAAGCACATGTTAAGAACTAAATGTAGAAATGTTTTTTTGAAACTTGTGTATTGTTTTTATCAAAAGTTTATAATTAATTTTTTTATTACTTTTTTTAATATAAATTTTCTATTTATAAATTTCAAATAGCATAGTTGAACAATAATAATGTTAAATGGCAGTGCCATCCCATTCAAAATATGTGGTATCTGCAAAGTATATTTAAAAATTTACCGAAATAATATATATCGTATATCAATACTAATCATAATATTTATAGGTATTTTCAAATAAAACTTTTATAAATATAAGAGTGATTAAGCTAAATTTTAAAAAGAATTTGGCATTATATTTAAGAGTTGTTCATCAAACTCAAACATTTAATTGAAGAATATAACGGTATACTACTGAGTATTGCAAAACTCTTGATAGGTAAAAAGAAATTGGATAACTTTTGAAACTTCGATAGTAATTTTCACTCTTTATCTCTCTTAATCAATTCCTCTCTCTCATTTTAATGATTTAATTAATTACTCATCTATCTTTAATTCAAAATGAATCAAAGTCATCAAAGTTACCCGACAATAGTCACGGCTACAATAGTGATATGATATATTTACAATAGTGATATGATATAATTAATCGAGGATTTTAAAAAAACTCAAGACTACAAAAAGTTTTCATGAAAAAGACAAATACATAT